CGCTTCTGACTGGACGACCGACAGGCCACCTCCAAACTGATAGGTCGGCCTCCAGCGATCTGACTTTCATGCAAGGTCACGGGGATATTCCACACTCGCGCTGATACTGCGTGTTGTATATTTCACAATGCCAGAGATTTTAACACTTCTAAAACAGTTAGATAAGGGTCTAACACACAACGCCCCCCCCCCCCCCCCCCCCCTTTTTCCCCAGAGAGTGACAAAACCTATGTCACAGGCCGTCTCTTTCTCTGAAATAAAAACCTAAATGCAAGACAATAACAGACTGCGACACCCATAACCTCGACCACGGTAGACGAGTCCAACCAACTTATCAATAGAGTTGACCTACAACCGGTGGTGTGTAAATGGAAAGACTATCGTATAAAGTTGGTCCAGTTCATGTTTTCCGGCCCATCTACACACTGGCTGACTTTTCATTCGTACTTTATCAGACTCTTTTACGTTAGCGCGGTGTCACGTTGTCTTGCCTCCAATTACATCAGCGCTGATGTCACGTTTTCTATACTAAACAACGACGCAGCTTTCAACGACCACAGAACATCTAGAACTGGCCCTAACCCATCTCTTTCCTCCTTTCCACAGCCTGAGCCTGGGTCACAGGAGAGACTCTTTTCGAGGCAAAGCAGTACAACGTGACACCCTTCTGAACTAGATCGGACTAAGAAAGTGTGTAGATGGGGCGGGAACCATGAACAGGTCCTCAATGCCTATAATTGTACAGGGGAACAGGTTCCTCCCGCACCCCCACCTCGGCCGCAATCAACCCATACAATTTTTTTTTTCATAGTATGTGTTTATTTTTTCATATTATTTGAAATATATTATTATACTCTTTTACCATTCAGCCCACAATACGCTCCATTCCATTATCTTGCCAATTAGTGTAGTGGCTAGAGGGTCACCTGTGGCTCCGAAGGTCGTGGGTTCACATCCTGACGTAACAAAAGCCTAGGAAATTAACTTTTTAGCCGTTGAAGTGCTTGCAACAAACTTGCTTTTGAAAATATTTATTATTAAATAGATACAGGCAGCTGGAAAGACAATTGTGATCACATATTTTACCTCTCTCCTTGCTTGCTACAAAAAATACCTTACTATTTATTTACTTTCCTGCCTAATTGCTAAAAAAAAAAAAAAAAAGATCTAAAATAGCTACTAAAATAGCTATACCGCTGTCTGTTGGATTAGAGACAGATGGATAACACAAGCAGGTCGTTCAGAGACAAAAGATAGAACAACCTTATTTGCATTGTTTGCGGGTCTATGCTACAGCAGGAGAAAAAGGTCAGAAGAAAATGGAACAGAAAGACCATGCAGTTTATCTTTATCGCGAAACGATACTGAAGCAGTCAATAAAAAACGGAATGTTTGTTCTGTGAGAAGAGACCCAAAGAACCATCCCTCTGTCTATGGATAATTAATGCGTTACTGTTTGCCCTAATGAGCTGTGTGAGAAACGAGTTTCAGAAGAAGAACAAAAGTGCCACAGCTGTAGGCGAGGGCGGGAGTGACAGCAGTTTGTGTCATTAGGTAGTTCCAGGGAACTTTGAATGACAGGCTCACGCCGGTATACTTGATGCTGAACTTGGTAAACAATTAGGTTCCTAATGACGTTTTGTAACACGGTTCTGGGTAAACTTCATCAATTCTGCATTCTTTTATCTCTGTATTTCTATAAGCCTATGTGTCTGTCTGACACCCATCTACACACTTACCTACTTACCTACCTACCCACTTAACTACATACCTACATACCCACTTACCTACCAACTCACTTACCTACTTGTCTACCTACGTACCTACCTATTTGTCCAGCTGGTGGTGGACAGTATGTCGACGTACTCACGTGTGCCATGCCAGGAAACCGACGAGGGATCCCATTTGAGACGTGCACGGGAATGCGTGACAATAGAAGGCTTCCCAGTGATATGGGCAAAGGCAGTTGAATTAGTGAAGCGTACAAAAATCACAATTTAAATATGCAAGTCGACCTCACATTTTGGAACAAGACTAAGTCCAAAAGTGGACGAACAACCAAAGCTTTTCGTCAGAGTTTTGAGTCGGTGAACGTTAAGAAGAAGAGAAAGAGAATACGTTAACAAAACTGGGGTAAAACAAAAAATATTTCAATTTAATAAGTTGGAAAACAAATATGGAGCAGCTTAGAAATAGAAAAAAAAAAAACGAAAACAAAATGAGGTGACCACAAACTGTCATCTGTCAATAGCCCCCCCCCCCACACCCACACACAACACACACACACACACACACAACACATACAAACAAGCACATACACACAAACACACACACACACACGAAACACGCACACACATAATACACACACACAAAACACACACAACACACACACACACACACAACACAACAGTAACACAAAAAACAACAGTAACATAAAAAACAACAGTAGCACAACACAAATAAGTAAATAACACTGACGTAATTGCATTAGGGAATTGCAATATGATGCAAAAATATGAAAATAAATAAATACACAGAAAGAAAATGATAAATTCACTCCAAACATTGTTTTCTTTACATTCTACACGCCGTTGTTCAGTTGAGCTGCATTGGGTTGATTCAAGAATCTCCTTCACAACCGCCAGGACATGCCCATAAACACTTAGTCCTCATCTTCAACAGCTAACGAAGAGTTCGAATTCCGTTTGTACTAATAACAAGTCGGTTACACGAAACAACAACCAAAATGTACCTGAAATTAAAATAGCTGATCTTAACTTTGTTTTGCTGAAAACGGGAATGATATTAAAAAATGATGGTTCTCTAATTATTTAGATATATGCCACCATCCCCTCCCCCATTTCCCCCGTGTGGGTGTCGGGGTCCTATTATAGGGAAAATAAGAATAGACTCACTGCCTACCCAAAAGCATGTCGTAAGAGCCGACTAATTGGGAGCTTCCTTCGAAGTCGAAGTGCATCTGCCTGAGAGGCAAGGAACCAGCAGTGCTGCATACAAATGAGTCAGATCTGTAAAACGGATCCACAAGCAACACTCAGGTTCTGGAAGAGGACTGCAGTCCAGAAGTGGACGAATAACCAGAACTTTCCGCTGGAGGCTACAGCTGGTGAACGCGAAGATATATGCTACTAGTTTATCAAATTACGGGTAATATGTGTAAATATAAACACGTATAGTAACTGCATAATGTGTCAACATGACCAGTAAAGACGTAACTAGATGTTGATGATGCAATCCTTTCTATGTAAATATCTTATCTGTGGTAAAATTGTGCCATTAATCAGTGCATTCATCTATATCGAAATGATAGTGTTTAGAAATACCTAGAGCATGTGTGAAAGCGCTTATAATTTCTGTTGCGTATGTGACAAGGGGACATTTCTATTTAAAAAAAAAAAAAGTTATTGACTAGTGTTATGTGTCGGTCCTGTCTTTCATCTTTGTGTAAAGTGGCAGACATATTTCCTGACCACTCCCCGATGTACCATTCTACTCCCCAATGTACCATTCCACTCTCCGATGTACTATTCTACTCCCCAATGTACCATTCCACTCCCCAATGTACCATTCTACTCCCCGATGTACCATTATACTTCCCAATGTACCATTCCACTCCCCAATGTACCATTCTACTCCCCGATGTACTATTATACTTCCCAATGTACCATTCCACTCTCCGATGTACCATTCTACTCCCCAGTGTATCATTCCACTCCCCAATGTACCATTCCACTCCCCAATGTACCATTCTACTCCCCGATGTACCATTATACTTCCCAATGTACCACTCCACTCTCCGATGTACCATTCTACTCCCCAATGTACCATTCCACTTTCCGATGTACCATTCCACTCCCCAATGTACCATTCCACTCCCCAATGTACCATTCTACTCCCCGATGTACCATTATACTTCCCAATGTACCACTCCACTCTCCGATGTACCATTCCACTCCCCAATGTACCATTCCACTCTCCGATGTACCATTCTACTCCCCAATGTACCATTCTACTACCCAATGTACCATTCTACTCTCCGATGGACCATTCTATTCACGGCGTCATAATCTTCAGTTTTACGTTTTAAGTGTTTCTCCAGGAAATATCACAAGAAAAATGTCACGGGTATGAGCGCCACCCGTAAAGGCAGAAAAAGACCGTCAATTTCAACATCTGGTCCCACTTTTGCAGTTACAAATTGTAGAGAGAAAGCGTTTTGGCCCAGCACTCGTTAGGTAGTGCTGATCATTGTCAACGCGTGGATAAGTGATGTCTTTGATGTCATCAGTCACTGTTCTAGCCGCACGTCCTCTTGCTTGAACATCATGTCTGGTACATCAAATTAGGTTCTTTCGCTCCATAGATCAAAGGGTGCTTTATCAATATCCTACCCCAAACAGGGGAAATCCACAGGTCACTGGACAGTTTAATATTTCGGGGGGTTGGTAGATAGGCTGCATGCAGTCGTGGGACCTAGGCAGCATGCAGTGGTGGGACCTAGGCTGCACTCTCTCGTGGAAAGTAGGTGCATTTGGGAAAGGGCTAGTTATAGATGTTTTGGGGTCGTTAAAAGTATCACAAAGCTGGGAAACAAAGTCTTACCACGCTCTGAAATGTTTGATTGTCCTGTGACGTCATCTGGGGGTAGGATAATAATAAAGTACAACAAAGGCAGTCCAGAAATGCAGTTATGCATGTTATGTTATTACCCTGCTCATAACCCGCACTTGGGTTACTCTAAAGCACAAAAGCAACATGAAGGCTGAAAGTTTTCAAACGGTTTTTTGTTTGTTTCTGTTACACATTGATTTTGCCTATTGTTTGTTTCGATACGGACGATTTAAAAGATCCAGATCACTTTAACTCAGTAGAAACCAACCGACATAACCTGCAGTAAAAACGTCGTGGCGACTACTAGAGCTCCCCTTTGTGCCATAAAAGAACCAAAATGTCACATGGCCGAATCAGCAACGGATGACTCAGTCTCGATTCAAGATAGCCATCTGGTCTTTCTCATCTTTACGCAAACCATTATCTAAACTCTCTAGTGACGACTTGCAGTTCTGCATGGCTCGGTATCGGTCCCAAAGATGACGAACCACATCCCCAACGACAGCTCTGTCCGCGTTTAACTCTAGCAGCCTCAAGACCAGAACGCCATCGCTTCTCAGGTACTCTTCAATGAAGCCCTTCTGACTGACCACAGGCACAGTTGGAGCTGTAGAAACAGGTTCAATGTCAGTAAACCCAACCTCCACAGAAGGAGGTGATTCCACTGATTTGATGTATGTTTTGGAAAACAAAACGGTTGAAAACGGAGGTTTAGTTTTAACCCACCAAGTGACCAAATTAACAAACGTCACTATGAACAGAAATATCATCCAAAACCACTCCAGAACGAAGATCTTCTCTAAGAGCAAATTCAGGGTCATTGAGCATTGAATATGAAACACTTCTGGAGCTGTTTGCGTGGTACTTCCTGTTTTTCCTCCTTCCAGAATAAAGTCGCAGATGAGAAGACGAGGAAAGCTGTACGGATCCTGCCAATCCCCACTGCTCAGGACGCTGTTTAAAACTAGGAGGCCATATTTCCAAAAATTAACATCCAAAAACACGGCCATAAGAAAGAAGTTTCCCATTACGTTAATCAAATTCAGAAATTTAACTGACAAGTAAAGAGATGACAGGAAGTTGCCAGATCGTTTTCCCAAGCAAAATAAAACTGACAAAATGGTTCCAGAGTGTTGTCCAACCAGCCGGATTCGGTAGGATTTGTATCCGGTAATCCAGTTCTCAAAATAGGCCACCACTTCATCCATCTTGAGTTTTTTGTTCTCCTCGTTCTCCGCCGTCTGCGCCTGCAAGACAAGCTCCCGGATCTTCTGAAGATCGGCCCCGGATGAGGTGTTCATGCGGGTCCAAATGAAGTTAGGAATTTTGAACAGCATTGCCTGAAAAAGTAGATGTTTACAGTATAGCTTGAAATCTTCATTTGCATGTTGTGTGTATGTGATATCTAGACAGTGGGCAGACTAGAGAAAACACACTTAATGATTACCTTCTTCTTCTTCTTCTTCTTCTTCTTCTTCTTCTTTTTCTTTTTCTTTTTCTTTTTCTTTTTCTTCTCTTCTTCTTCTTCTTCTTCTTCTTCTTCTTCTTCTTCTTTTCTTCTTCTTCTTCTTCTTCTTCTTCTTCTTCTCCTTCTCCTTCTTCTTCTTCTTCTTCTTCTTCTTTTTCTTCTTCTTCTTCTTCTTCTTCTTCTTCTTCGTCGTCGTCGTCGTCGTCACCATTTACCAGTAAAAGGACGGTTGGTAAGTTGTGTTGTGGTCTTCAGCGATGCTGTGATATCTTCACCTTCCGGCCCTACACATCTGAGTTAAAAAAAAAAAAACTAATCGGTCGCCTTTTACAACATGCCACGCTTGTTAGTTGATTGCGGGAATATTCGATAGACCTCCAAAATGGATTCTTATATCCCAGACGGGGAAGAAAAATGTGGTGATTTGATAGCGGTTAAAACAGTTAGTCGCCCATACTTTACTGGACTTTACCCAACCAGCCCATAAACATTTGTTGGCTGTCTTGTGATTTTACTAGACAATTTTTGTCTTCAGTAAGTTTGTCTCTGTAACACATCAGTTCGACGCTCATACTGCAACCGAAATCAACGCAAGGCGTTCTAACACATTTGCCTGCAGCTAACTGCCAACCAGTATAGATGAATTAAGAAACTGCGTTCATAACCCCTAAGCTATAGACGCCGGCTTAGACTTATTTAGTCTTGGGTAATATAGCTTAGAGTAATGCAAATTAAAGTTACGTAGCTTGAAGCAACCAAGCATGTAAAGACCGGACTCGATTGAATATGCGGGAGGAAATCAATAACTGTTTCAACAGAATTGATAGCGAGTACTATCAACGCACTGTGGAGCATAAAGAAGACGGTGAGGCAAATATAACTCCCAAGTCATCCACTGCACCTGACTTTAACTACAGTCTTCTCGTTTTGTGCTGCCACTGGATCAAGATGGACACTGGCGAGAGAGTGAGATCGACGACATTGCGCAACTCTTCCTCGCTTTAAACCAATTCATCTTGTAAGTTACTCTTTCATCACTTCTCACCTCAGTCATAATTCGACGATCCCGTGGTGGCCAGATAAGGGCAGCTGAGTAGCACAGGCAAGGCTAGAAAGTCCCGTACAACAGGCCCCTTACCTACAGACACTTGGGTCCTGACCCCCCCCCCCCCCACCCTTTCCCAAATTGTCATAGATCCGTGGATGTCAACCTTTCCTATGCCGCTACCCTTTAATACAGATCTCGCATGTTGTGGCGACTTCAGATAATTATTTTTCTTCACAACTTCAATGAATATGTGTTTTTCCCATTGTCTTAGGCGACCCATGTGAAAAGGTCGTTCCACCCCAAAAAGGGTCAGGACCAGCAGGTTGAAAACCTCTGTTCTAGATCCTTCTGGGCCCGTTTTGGGCTTTTAAGTCAGCTCTGGACTCACACAACGCAAATATAGTTTAATGACGAAATAAAGAAAGAGTGGTCCTCGTCGGTTGTATGGGACCAACAACAACAGTTTGAAGCAATCTAGCCGTCTGATTTTTCTTCTACTGTCAATCTATGCCGTGTGGCACTGGTAGGCGTGTCTACTCATAAACTTCTGTCTGATGTACTTTCAACTATTTTTGGCCCGGCTCTCTAGCGGAATTGGCTAAACCGGATTTCGCGGAGACCGGGTGACGTACTCCTTGTGGTCCGGGTTCAATCCCGGGGGTAGGCAGGAAAGCCACATTTTCTCCCAGATTGACGGTATTTACAATGGAATCAAGGCCGAAAGGTTGCGATATCCATAATACCGAGCCTAAGGGTTAACAACTCATGGCTTCTGGATACTAAAACAAACAACTATTTTTGACACTGATGATCTTTCAGGCTATGATGTCCAGTATCTTCTGTCTCGGTATTCCTCTGCCTCTCTTCCACTGTAACCTTCTCACAATCACGATATTCTCCTGTTTTCCTTCTTATGTTGTTACCAAAGAAAGTATATTGTCTTTTTTTTATACGGTAATCAGTGCTCTTTGTGTGTTAATTTTTGTCACAACATTTATTCTACATTTATATAACTCATCATCCCCATGTGGTATGAAAATTTATAGTTATTCTGAAGCCCCACTTTGGCTAGTGCCGGGGGCCCTAAATATAGCCGGGCCTGAAATATGGCCTAGCGGCTGAACTGGGTTTCTGGGACCTCTCCACGGGTGATCTTAATCCACATGGTGGCACTTTGTGTCACTGGGTGTGTATCGCTTGTGTGAGGTTCTAGTGGGATACAACTTACATACATACATTCTACATTTAACTTACAGATGTTGTTATGAAGTGAAGTGAAGTGTTATGCAATATGACGTGAAATGAAGCTTTATGCAATACAGCCGTTAGACGATTGCGACATGGATGGCATACTACAAAGGATCTATAGCGGTTGACAGCAAACTGAATGAGGATAAATGGACCGCACCATTTAATTATCTCATAGTACAATTTTTGTAGTAAATATAGGTACATACGCGGGGAAACTGGCGGCTTTGTGGATACAGAGGTTGAGACCACCGTTACCCCCTCCCCCTTGTTGCACTGAGGTTTCTTTCTTTTTTTTTTTTCTTTTTTTTTCAAATAATAATTTAGATACTTTCATATTATGTAAAATATATTATTATATTTATTTGCTATTTACCGCATGACTATTATTAATGAATATAATAAATAATATTACTGTTTGAAATATCTCATTATCGCTCTCATTTAAGTCATTAAGAAAGTAAAGAACGTTTGTTTTGAAACACGTTTTACTTATAGCTTCACAGACCAATGTCAGATATTTAAAAAAAATCCAACAGCAATAATAATAATAATATCAATGCGGTAAATAGCAAATAAATATAATAATATAACCATCATCATTCCGTAACACTACATGTCGTTGGGTCACTAGTTTGTGTTGACTGATCATCTCTCTTCACCTTTGGCTGTCAGTTGCGATGGACTTTATGGTTGCATTCCTGAGATCTGTCCAGTCAGTCACGTTCTGTAACCAGGTCTTTCTTGGTCTGCCTCTTCTTCTGTTTTCCCTCTACTAAACCCTGCAGTATTGTTTTCTGAGAGGCCGGTAGATCTTATTACATGTCCATACCATTGCATTTTTTTTTGCCTTATCATTGTAGAGGTTAATAGTTACCAATGTTCATATATAATTATACGGCGATCTTCTTTGTTTTTAATGTGGTTTATGTATGACATGCCAAGAACTTTTCTGAAACATCGCATTTCCAATGCTTGTATCTTCCTTTCGACTTCAGCTGTTGAGGTCCACGTTTCACAGTCATCTGTAAATGTATGAATAGCTAGTGCTCCAAGCAGTCGAATCTGAGTTTTGCATGAAATGTTTTTAGATCTCCATAATGTTTGCTGATTAGCAAGGACTGACGTTGTCTGGGCAATCCTAGACATGATTTCTGTTCTTGACCCTATGTGACTTATTATGGATCCCAAGTATTAGAAATGATTGCCTTGTTCTAATTTGTGACCTTCAACTTCATTAGTGAAGTTAATCCAGCTAGAGTGTAAGTCTTTTTTTTTCTGCATTTATATCTATGCCATTCTTGGTCGATGTTTCTTGGAGCAGATTTTCAAGCTCGGCTAGCTCTTGTTCTTTCCCTCCAACCCATCGATGTCATCTGCAAACCTTAAGTTTGTTATAGTTAGACCTCTTATTCTAACTCTTCCATGATGTTATTCAAGGGTGTCAGTCATAGGGAGAGGAGGCAGCCCTGGATTCCTACTGCTGTTCGGAACCAGCTCCCTATTAATCGATTAAGAGTGAAAGCCCTACTGGCCTTGGCATAAAGTTGTTTTATACTACGTATGAGGGTTTTATCCATTTTGTACTTTTTCATAGTGTCCCAGAGTGCTGCATGCCATACTCTTTTTTAATCAAGAACACGTGGTATAGGTGTGTTTGGTGCTGGTGGTATTGCTCAGATAATATTCCTAGTTTGGATATCTATCAACAGTGCTTCTTCCAGAACGGAAACCCACTGATTTCCTCTGCTCTGATTTTTTTTTTTTTTTTGGCCTGTAGCTTTAATCTATTTAGGAGTATCTTGAGCATAACCTTACTGGGATGACTGATGAGACTTATAGTCCTTTAATTTTGACATTGTTTTAAATTCCCCCTTTCTGGCTAGGTAATGATGAATGATTTGGTCCAAAGAGATGGCCATTAACCAGTCTCCCAAATTTTGCTACTGATTTCAGTGAGGATGTCGATGACGTCCACTGTCCCCGCCTTATGGATCTTAGCTGGGAGGTTGCCACTTCCCCCAGCTTTTCCATTGTGTGTGTGTTTTGACGGCCTTCTACTTCATCCCGTAGTATTTGGAAATTGTCACCTTCCTGTGCTTGCTTGCTGTGAAGGATGTTGGTGTTGCAATTTAGTATATATATAAACACACACATATATGTATATATGTGCATGCGTATATATATATATATACTTTTACATTTCATATTATGTTATACACACACACACACACACACATATATATATATATATATATATATATATATATATATATATATATATATATATATGTGTGTGTGTGTGTGTGTGTGTGTGTGTATAACATAATATGAAATGTAAAAGTTAACACTTAATAAGAAACCTTAATTCACAGAGAGACTGAGGGAAAAAAAAAAGGGGGGGGGGGTCTCAGCAGATTCACAAATTTGCTACAGCAGCTTCTGTGGGTTATGTGGTCAACTCACGCCGGCTGCCTCTATTTCCCAGAACGTCTCCTGGTACCCATTTTATGCTGGGTCGACCTTGGAGCTCAGGTGAATTTTAAAACAAAAAATATCCGCGAACAGAGGAATTAACCTAGATGTTTAATTATTGTAATATGGCCTTTATATGTTATGTGTAATGATCGTTAAATGTCAGTTCTCAGTTATTGGGCTTTACCATCCAGAACCTTTTCTTTGTGTTAGTATCCCTGCATGTGTGCTTCGGAAACGCTTGATCTGAGATGTTATGAGCTTTCAGTTTCTTTCAAGTTGCCATGTTCATAAAGTGATTACAACACATTAGTTTCATCTGCTCGCCAGCCGAGGGCACAGAAGTCACTAGTAGCCAGGCACAGGATGCCCACTGCAACAATGGGATGATTGTTGGATATATCCAGGAGGGGTTTTGTGGTGAAATGGTTAAGCTGTTTGCTTTGTGCTCTGAAGATTGTGGGTTTGATTTATGAATCTCTCATTTGATTCGCAAGAGAAGGCTTTTCAAAGATTACTGGAGGCCTTTATTGTAATGTCTCTTCTTAAAGTTCATACCGTGTGGCGCTGGAAGTCATGTCTATCCACAACCTTCTGTCTCGCATACTTTCAGTCAATATTGATACAGAAGATTCCTCATGCTTTAATGCTGTTCAGCATCTTTTCTCTCAGTCTCCCTCTGCCTCTTCTCCCTTTTAACTTTCCCATTGTCAAGATGTACCCTACTCCAGTTTTCTTCTTCTGATCACCTGACCAAAGAATGTAGATTGTCTCTTTCTAATGTGGGCAATCAGTTTCTCTTCGTGAGTCCGCTAGTTAGTTTTTGTGTGTGTAAATAGTTGCAGCGTTGTCATAATGGAAGTAGGTTTATACTAGAAGATATAACAGGGATTGTAGCAATAATATTCTATGCTACCAGTGCCAGACATGAACATTCACAACAAACGATACAAGAAAATTAGTAACCATGGAAATGAGATCTATACGAAAATGCTTCATGAATGAACTGAAGAGATACAATCAGGAATAAAATCGTAAAAAAATGTCTGACAAAACGAATCCTAATTTACACATAAAGAGAACAAATAAAATGATTTGCCTTCCAGTTTGCAGAACATGCCTTGTGATGCCATACTATATACAACAAACGCTAAATGGAGGAAAGAGACGTAGAACAAGATGGCAAGATAACACAAAGAAATTTAACAAAAGTAAAATGAGTCTAACGCCGAGGTGGCCAAAATAACAAGAAGTCGAACGTTATATCTCCCTTGATACCTGAAATGGTAAAAAAGGAAAAGGAAGAAGAACAAAAATGTAGTATGTGTAGTATAAGTAGGAGTAGAAGCAGCAGCAGTAGTAGTAAATGTAGGTGTAGTAGTAGCATTAGAACTAGTAGTAGCAGCAGTAATAATAGTACTAGCAGCAATAGCAGTAGCAGCAGCAGCAGTAGCTGCAGTGGTAGTGGTGGTGGTGGGGTTGTGGTAGTGACAGTAGAAACGGTAGTAGTAGAAGCAGTAGTAGGATTCACAAAACCCAATATGAAATGTGAAGATGTAACTGTGTCTGTCACAAACCTGGACAACAAACACCAGGGTGACCCATCTAAAGAATGCCGTCCCGATATCAATGAGGGGTTGAGGCTCTTTCAGATCCCAGATCCCCGTGGCTGTTGAGACGAACATCAGTCAATAAGTAACAATAACGTGATTCTATGTGCATGCCTTAAAGGAATACACATCAATGTACAGTGGTTCTGACACCAATAAAACATTGAGAAATGGATGATGGTGGAGGGGGAATCAGGACTTCATTACAGTCCCAAGAATATTTCCTAACTGTGGCGGTATATATGTGTGTGTGTGATTGAGTGGGGAGGGGTGTGTCTGAAGAGGACCTAAGCATTTTTAAGTGTTTAAATATAAATATAATAATAATAATAATAATAATAATAATAATATTTAAAAAAAAAGTAAAGTAAAGGGCCCTTTTGCACGCAGTTCATGCGTATTGAGCATATAGGACTAGACATACATTTTATAGACCAATCGGTATTCATTGGGTGACGTAGCCAACATCATCCTGGCCACCTTTACTTCCTAGGACTTTACCTGGTACCCTTTTAAGGCTGTGTCGACCCGGGAGCCGTGGTCATTTCTAAAGTCCGGATCCATCAGAACCTGAACACACGACCTTCGGATGCACAGGCGAGCGTGTAACCGCTACACCACAGTGGCTGGGTATTAATAATTGTTGTCACCTTGGCGTCTTTACAGACGATTTCTTGTTACTGTAGACAGACATGGGAAACACAGCCGATTGCTGTGGCGAATGTGGCTACCTTACTTGCTCGTGTTGATACAAAATCTTCTACAATTAGAGCATGGCTTTTCAGGGCAATTATAATAGTTTAAGTACAATATGACATTTTAAATAAATCGTTAAAATACAATTAGAAAAAAATTATTATAATTATTATTATTATTACTGAAATAAAGCGCTGAAATGTAAATATATACATCAATACATTTGAAACACTATATATATTTAAAAAAAAAAAAAACTGAATTAACAACTTGAGCAATTACTAATCAACTACAAACATTCATCAACTGGTGTTTGCGCAGACTACAAGGAATTAAAAAAGTATGGTAGAATTAATAATTCGGGGCTTTAGGAGAGAACTAAACAAATTCCAGTGAAAAACAAGGGAGTGAAGAAAAGTCGCTGGCGTTGGAAAGGACACCAGTTAAAAAAAAAACTGAGAACAGTATAACTAGAAGGGCTTTACACTGAAGCCAGTAGGGACACAGAAATACAAACAGAACCCCCCCCCCCCCCCCCCCAAAGCTAAAGAGTGAAATTAAAACGATTGGAACGTTATGGGGTGAATTGCATGCGATAGCGTTGGATATGTTGACTTGGCATGGCTTTGTTGACAACCTATGTTCCATGGCGAGATAAAGACTAGATGATGGATACTATTTTGAAGTAAATTTCGTGTTGTGTACCTGAAGAGATAAAGTGAAAAATGCCAGGCATCACATTTAACAAGAAATTATTTGTTTGAAAAAATCATTTATCGAATTATGAAAACAAACAAACAAACAAACAAACAAACAAACAAACAAACAAACAAGTGCTGAGTTGATTGAGATTTATCGCCATCAAGCACCTTGCCAGGTAGGGTAGGCGTTCATGTATCTCCAGAGAACTTGGTGGTGTTCTGGATCAATTCCACTGATGATATTCTTCCAGGCCACTGACCAAAGCCATCCATCATCATTTCTCTTGGTCTGCTTCTGCGTTTTGTACCAGTGATCTTTCCAGTCGTCACAATATTCTCCAGTGCTCATTTTCTCATCACATGGTCAAAAAAACCTTGTTTGCCTCCTTCTCATTGTTGTATATGATGTACAACTTTTATTAGCCACTTCAAGATAATCATTGATTGAAAATTAATAAGTGAATTCCCTTACTTTTGTTGTTTGCAGTAATTCTCTGGAATCTCGGGTATCGCAGCTGGTGCGTCCAGCAGTAGCTGTTGATGTGGGCGTGGTAACTGTCTGACCCCGCAGGGAAATCCAGCGGGGTCCAACAATTGATGGGTTGACCCACGTATTCCTGAGGAGCACAAACATACAATTTGGTTACAATGTAAAGTGAACAGTGAAAGAGGCTTTCCATCCCGTTGGCGCTTCCAGTATACTCTGTCAGATCGACTCTGTTATATGTATGTGTGTAAGCAAACGCGTGTACATTGACTCCTGCTTGTGGGTGTGCGAAAGTGTGTATATATATATGTGTATGTATGCAAACGTGTATGCGTGCATTCACACATGGGCCTGCAGACACGTATGTTATCTGTGTGATTGTGTGTGTATGTGTATGTGTGTGTGTGTGTGTGTGTGGTTGTGTTTAGTGCATGACGGCCTCTCCCCAACAGCCCTAGGTGCTAGAGTGTCGCCCCAAGCCACTAGTTTCGGTTCAATTGATATTTCTTAGCCAACGTAATTGGCACAACGAAACCGCACAACAGTTATAACCGACAGTGTCCGTAGTAGGTTGAACGTGGATACCGGAACGCTGCTCCTCTTGGGTGCATGTCAAAAGTGGGGTGGCCATCTTTAAATTATTATTATAATGTCACACTTTTCGTCTGCATGTGATCTCACGTGTTTAACACTCTTGACACCCCTACGAAAACAGTGACAGGTGACCCAGACAACAGCATGGTTATTGTAATTTCCATTACACTTTTCAGGTTTTAATTTTAAGCCCCTCATATTAACTTTCCCTGATCCACACAAGCCACCTACCTGCAGTCCAGCACCGAACGCAAAGAGAAACAAAATGGCCACAGTGACGAAATAATGGAGTCTGTCCACAAAGTCGTCTCCCCTGATCGGCTGCTTGAGGACAACGCCCGTCAGCTTTGCCAGCAGTGAGTCCATGCTGTCAGGGAAACCAAAATATACATCACGTTATACAAACTGGAAAAGTGGGTGGAAGAAGGGATAGAAGAAGACAATGAGAGCAGATTCTTGACAGTCTTGTTGCATGGCATGGAGGTGTGTCAGCACACGATCTGATACATGCTGCAGGAGATCGCGGATTGTGGAGAGGCATGATCGTCCACGCCAGTTGGCTAGACACCTTATGATGATGACGGTAACCACATTAGTCAATAAACGAGAAGCGGCTGGACTCTCTTTTGGGATATCCAGGTTCAAATCCTCCGTTAGGGTGACGAATTTATTTCCCCCTGGGACAAAAAAAAAAAAAAAAATCCTTACTCGCACAGTCAGTGCGACAGCACTAGACATGCATGCCTAAATCAGGGGTAGGCAATCCTTTCTTGCGGGTGGAGGAGATGTTCACGGGCTATAGTTAAAATTACCACTTAATTGAGAGCCAAATTTAGAATTACCACTTGGTTGGGGGCCACATTTAGAATTTTCACTTGGTTGCGGGCCAAATTTAAGTACCACTTTTTTGCGAGCCAAAAATAAAATTACCCCTTTGTTGCGAGCTAAAATTAAAATTACCACTTTGTTGCAAGCCAAAATTAGAATTAACACTTAGTAACTGGCGACCCAGAACAAATTTATTATAAAAATGACATAGGATGCCTTACAGTTTTACATTGTGTAAAAGGTGACTCTTCCACACTTTCAGGCATACTGAACTTGTAGTGCGTGACACATCTTTGTTAGACCAATCAACACTTAGTGGGTGATGAGGTCAACATCACACCGGCTGCCTTTACTTCCCAGAGCATTATTTGCTAAATGTTTGAGGCTGGGTTCACCTGGGAGCCAAGGTTATTTCTCAAAAATGTTCAGCTACTTTAGGATCTGAACCTGCAACCTTTGGATTCACAGATGAAGTTCCAAACGCGACAACACAGCCGCTCCCTTGGGATTGCAACTTTAAAATACTTTTAGTCAACGATATCAACATTTTACTTCTTGTACTTCTTATTCTTGTTATTGTTCTTTTTTTTTTGTGTGTCTCCTCATATTCTTTGTGTGTGCGCGCGCGCGCGTGTGTATGTGTGTGTGTGTGTCTAATTTCCTTCGTTGCAAAACAAAATAGTGGATATTTATCTGCAGCTTGAAACATGACAGTGGAGATGGAGGCAATCATTTCAGATGTGACGTGGATAGCATAAAATAGAGTTACCAGAGAAATTATACTGTCGGATCTAAGTCCGCACTGCGGAAGGTTCAACTGGGTAACACTGGTATGAGTGGACACAAAGCAGCAGCACGTCACGACATTGTTTAAGATATGCAGGAGTGTGAGGGAAAGGAAGAGCATATTTCATGGCTGAAAATGTGTTAGCATCAGGAACACTGTTACTGAACAAGGGGAGATTTTGAGGACTGTTTGTGAACGATGACACGAGGTTAGGTGAAATAGCATGTGTGGGCATTTGTGAACTAGGAATCAGGTGTGGATGCGGCAAGGGCAGTCGTATGAGAAAAAGGGGAGTTTTAGGTTTTGAGGAACGGATCAACATCATGACACACTGGTGTAACCCATACGTGCTCCGTTCTTTTTCTAACTGAAGTCTGAGAACGAAGAGGCTCAGCACAATGAACAGGCTCTCTAGCACCGGTGAGGATCCTGAAATACTTTGGGTAGATTTTTAACTCCAAATTTTGCCCGGTCAGCGCTGTTAGGCTACGCTTTTCGATTTCCAACTGACAAGGGATTTCTTTTACGTGCGCAACCAAGCACTTGGACGTCCGATCTCACTACCCAGAGACCAGGGGGAATTACTAGAAGTACAAGTGCATGTGAAAAAAATCATAGCCTCTACCGGGAATTGAACCTGGAACCTCTAGCTCTCGAGGCGGACACCATGCCTCGAGACCACGCAGCTCCCTGGGAGAAAGAGAACGACGTGTGTATATCAGTGGGATACGGGAATAGTTAGCATCTACACCTTAAAAGACCTTTGCTCCGGGAGACGAAGCTTAACTGGGTGTGGCCGTCGTGCTATGGTGTCGATTCTTTAATCATTAATCTGTAATATTCTATTTTCACTGTCTGCTTTGTGTGTTTAGGCGTCGTAGTTGAACAGGTAGTTGTGCCATGGCGGGCTACTTTGCTGGACATACCGTGATTTTATGAAGTCTTAGCCTTCAGTCCATATCCTTCTAGGTCTTCCTCTGCGTCTTGGTTTTAATAGGTACACTCTCGCTGCTGGCAGCGTCAGCTTCGTTCAGCTGTACACACATGCCGTGATGGTAACTGACTCACAGAGCATGTTGAGAAAGGTGGAGACAGGCATGCTTCGTGCAGAGTGGCAAGCATCACTTCCGAGGTGCCAGGTAATCAGCAGCGTCCTTTGGATATTCTCTCCTTGTGTGTTGGGAAATGAACAGGCAGTTAGACTGGCCGGTTCTGCACCACTTGGTGGTGAAGTATGACAAGCTAGATAAACAATGCGGAGGCGCAAATAGATAATTAGGGTGGGAGGAGAATGGCGCTGAGAGGAATTACCAGGGGATCTGGCTAATGCTCAACACTCAAAGAAAAGGCGAGACGGATACAATCAGACAGTTACTGGTGCCATCGAAATCAAAACTCTTTGTTTGCTGCTGAGGATGGGGACTGAGCGCTTATAATAGTGTCCCGAGTGTTATGATGTCGATTCTTAATTCAACATTCAACCATACCAGTCTTTGTTGTCTCCGTAAATAAAACTATGGGTATTGTTCCATTAGTTCTAATATTCCTATTACACACAGACATTGCGACAACAATGATTACTGTTAAAATAAACATCACATAATTTTTACCCAAAACGATCGATCTGGGCCCTTGCTATGATTCCTTTTTAAACAAGGCTTCTACTTCCACCCAAAGCTACTTTCGATTTTGATTGCTCCGGCCACCCCCTCCCCCTTCACCCCCCCCCCCAACCACACACACACACACACGCCTTCTTTTTTCACAGGGCGGTATCGCACTGAAGAAGAAAATAGTATTCTAAATTAATCATAAAATGACTAATAATTACGTTTGCGATTGTCAAATTGTCTAAGGAAAAGCTCTACCGCACTTCTTGATTCGTGTCACAAGTTAGGATAATCGAATCAGATAAAGCATTTCTTCATTCACTTTTCATCGTAAACTCAATCAGTTCAAGGTACTCCAGACGCCGGGAACCTAATTACCGAGGTTCAACAGGTGTCATTACTTCTAGTAACGACCTAGCTTAATCAGATAGTTAAACACGATGAAGTCAACTAGAAACAGCAAACTCCAAATCCCCAGGGTGACTTTAGTATGGCAATTTACTTACTAAACTGGTTCTCAGCCGGAATTTTATATGGCGTTACTGTGAGGTTTATAAGTTTTAAATGAGGTTCATAAGTTTAAACAGAGGGAGATTTATGTTTCTAGGGAGGTTGATAGGGTTTCTTGTGAGATTAATAGTTTCAGAGAAATATCTGATGGGTTTCTATCCAGATGCATAAGGTTTCCATGTTCTAGTTTTTTTTTTTTAATGATTTATATATTTGTTTTAAATGTAAAAGTTCTTTAGGTTCAAAAATATAAACTGAAGCCGCTTTGTAGTAGCGGCTAACATGCTTACCTGCTGGACTGAGGTCGGAGGTTCGAATTTACATTAGGATGGATTATCTAAATCGATCTGGGTGTCAGATCGCCATTAGCCCGTAATTTGTATCACAACACATAATTTCTTTGAACTTTTAAAAAACTCATAGCCAAAATGAATGTATGGGATCAACATTTTGAGAATCACTGGTCCACCATCAATAAGTTAATAATACCTGGAAAAATATTAGAAACCTCGAGGCTGTTATAGGTTTCGTATACATTCTAAAGGACTTGATTTAGAGTGTCGTATGCGAAGATTTGATTGATTCTTTCCTGGAACTGGCTTACTAGCACCACGAACACATTGGTGTATGTGTCTATGTGCACTTACTATTTCATTAGATATGAGATGTGGGGAGGCTGACTGTTGGTGTCCAACGCTGATTCCAGATAGGGCAATGTTGTTCCCTCTGGTGAAGATGTGGCTAGTTAGTTAGATAATTAGTTAGTTAGCTAGTTAGTTAGCTAGTTAGTTAGCTAGTTAGGTAGTTAGTTAGGTAGTTAGTTAGGTAGTTAGTTAGCTAGTTAGATAGTTAGTTAGCTAGTTAGTTAGGTAGTTAGTTAGGTAGTTAGTTAGTTAGGTAGTTAGTTAGGTAGTTAGTTAGCTAGTTAGATAGTTAGTTAGTTAGCTAGTTAGTTAGCTAGTTAGTTAGGTAGTTAGTTAGTTAGATAGTTAGTTGGCTAGTTAGTTAGGTAGTTAGCTAGTTAGTTAAGTAGTTAGTTAGGTAGGTAGTTAGTTAGTTAGTTAATTATTTAGTTAGTTAGCTAGTTAGTTAGTTAGTTGATTGGTCAGTTTAGTTAGTTAGTTAGCTAGTTAGTTAGTTAGTTAGTTGGTTAGTTAGTTAGTTTAGTTTAGTTTAGTTTAGTTAAGTAGTTAGTTAGTTAGCTAGCATAGGGCAGTTATCATAGCTCTTCATGTTTGGTGGTTCGTTGCACCTCTAGTAGGTCCTAGGTGTTTATTAAGCCTAAATCTGAGCCTTCTCTGATGATAGGGTCTCTCGGTCTTTCCAGTTTTCTTTTTCCTACCGATGTCCGTCTGAGGGCTTGATGGGGGAGTCTTGTCTTATCCATTCTCAGTGCATGACAGATGTAGTTACAGCGGGGCTTTCTTATTTAATTGGATACATTATCGCGCGCGCGCGCGTGAGTGCGTGTGCGCGCGCGTTGTGCGTGCGTGCGTGCGTGTGTATATATATATATATATATATATATATATATATATATATATATATATATATATATATATATATATATATATATATTCTTGAATTATTTGCATACAGGATCTGAATCTGTACAGTGGAGTTTTAGTGTTATTTTAAGACGATATGGTGACAAAAATGTATACCGTGTGTCGGGGACAGCACCAGGCAATTTCTTGGTTTAAGGGCCCTATATTTTTGAGGAAGTAAAGGGAAGGGAAAAGATCAGAAATATTTCGCTCTTAAAATTACATGTAAAAGGCGACTTTAAAAGGACTGTCAGCACGCTGTGATGTGGGGTAATGTTAGGCTGCGAAGTCTGCGCTTTTGGGGCCAACCCATCCGATTTCAGCAAATCCTTACGGCCCCTAGCATTCACTAGGGGGTATTTATTCTCCTGTCCCACGATGTGTGCCATTTGTCAGTAAATGCGGGGCTAGTTTGTAAACTCCATTTCCTCCTCCATCAGTCTCTGTCGTCATCTGATCCTACTTCATCTCCTCTTTTTCTTTTATCTCCTTCTTTATTCTTTCGTCCCCTCCTCTTTCTTCTCACATTTTCAATGCACCTCCCTAACTCATCGTCATCTGCCTACTGCTCCAGCAACGTCTGCGTATTCTTCTCTTTTTGGTACTCTTCTTTTTTGTAGCTTCTGTTCGTTATCTTTTGTCTTCGTCTTCTTTTCATCAGCATCCTCATTATCATCATCTTCTCCTTATTCTTCTTTCTTCTTTCTTCTTCTTCTTCTTCTTCTTCTTTTTTCTTCTTCTTCTTCTTCTTCTTCTTCTTCTTCTTCTTTTTCTTCTTTTTCTTCTTCTTTTTCTTCTTTTTCTTCTTCTTCTTATCTTCTTCTTCTTCTCCCATCAGCTAAAAATGTTTCATATCATACATCCCACCTGATTACTACTACTACTACTACTACTACTACTACTACTACTACTACTACTACTACTACTACTACTACTACTACTACTACTACTACTACTACTACTACTACTACTATTACTACTACTACTACTACTACTACTACTACTACTACTACTACTACTACTACTACTACTACTACTATTACTGCTACTATAACTACTACTACTATTACTGCTACTATAACTACTACTACTACTACTACTACTACTACTACTACTACTACTACTACTACTACTACTACTACTGCGACTGCGACTGCTGCTTCTGCTGATATTGCTGCTGCTATTACCGCTGCTGCTGCTACTAGTGTTGCTGCTGCTGCTACTACTACTTCTATGATTACGGCCGCTGTTACTACTACTATTGCTGCTGCTAATACTACTACTACTACTACTACTACTACTACTACTACTACTACTACTACTACTACTACTACTACTACTATTACTGCTACTATAACTACTACTACTACTACTACTATTACTGCTACTATAACTACTACTACTACTACTACTACTACTACTACTACTACTACTACTACTACTACTACTACTGCGACTGCTGCTGCTGTTGATATTGCTGCTGCTATTCCTGCTGCTGCTGCTACTAGTGTTGCTGCTGCTGCTACTACTACTTCTGTGATTACGGCCGCTACTACTACTATTGCTGCTGCTAATACTACTACTGCTTCTTTTACAACTACCACCACTACTACTACTCCCACTACTACTGCTGCTCATACTACTGCTACTGCTGCTGCTGCTGCTACTACTACTAGTACTACCACTACTACTACTAATACAACAACAAAAACAAAAGAACCCATAGGTGCAATATTTCAGTAGATATCGAATGTAGGTATTACAATTTTAACAAAATAGATAAAAATCATACCTGAATGAGTCAGGCAGAAAATCTCCCATCTTTACAATCCAGGCCTAAAACTGCGGCATGATAATTCATTGTTCATCCTAGGGGTAAATACCATTATTGGCTTCACTTCAGATAGGAGGCATCATTTAGAATACTGGCGCAGGCTGTTGACGTTTGTAATCCCGGTTAAATACTATCACCTCTCACCACTGACCATTGGGATAGATAACTTTATAGTTCATATTTCATGTACATATGGTCGACATTTATGATTGGGGTAGATACAATCCGTTTTTAAAATTCAAGTCGATAGAATCCTTATTTATAATTCGGGCAGATATTATAACTATTTATATTCTAGATAAACACGATCACTATTTATATTCCAGATAAACACGATCACTCTTTATAATCCAGGTAAATACAATCCTTTTTACACTATAGGTAGATGCTATCCCTATTGACAATCCAGACAGGTACAGACGTTAGTTACAATCGATATATAGTAAATATAAAAGTAAAGAAGACTTTTTTGTACACGTTCAGGCGTATTGGGCATATAGGGCTAGACCTATATCATTTAGACCAATCTGCACGTGGTGGGTGATGTGGTCAGTACTACGGTGGCCACCTTTACTTCACAGGACTGCACTTGTCACCCACTCAAGGCTGGGTGGACCTTGCCAAGGTCATTTTCGGAGAAAAATACTCTGGCTCCCTTAGGATCCGAACTCACGACCTTCCGATCCTCAGGCGAAAGCAGTTCAGATATAAGCAATCCCAAATTTACAGTGCAGGTAGACACTGTCTATTTCCTTTTCAGCTGGTCATTATTACCGTTTCTAATTCGGGCAGCTGCTATAACTATATATAATCTATACAGATAAGATATCTCTCTGTGTGGGTTCCGGGGCCCTGTTATAGGGAAAACAAGAATAGGACCACTGCTACAAACACGTCCTAAGAGTCGACTAATTAGGAACTTCTTGAAAGTCGGAGTGATTCTGCCTGAGATCTGTAAAGCAGATGTACACTCAACACTCAGCTTCTGGAACAGGACTTGCAGTCAGATGTGGATGAACAACCAGAACTTTCCGCCAGATATTACAGCTGGCGAAGAAGAAGAGGAAGAAGAAGAAGAAGAAGAAGAAGAAGAAGAAGAAGAAGAAGAAGAAGAAGAAGAAGAAGAAGAAGAAGAAGAAGAAGAAGAAGAAGAAGAAGAAGAAGAAGAAGAAGAAGAAGAAGAAGAAGAAGAAGAAGAAGAAGAAGAAGAAGAAGAAGAAGAAGAAGAACGAATATTTAGGTTCAGCAATGTCGACTGCACACGAGACGTCAGAAAAAGACTTGCTTTAGTAATGCAGAGACAAAAATAGCACCAAGAACCTATGGCACAGCACCTGCAAGAGAGATAAGGTTAAAATTTACAGATCATTCTTCTGTCCCCTGGCGCCTCATGTAAGACATGGATTCCTAATCGCTGAAGAAGAAGAGAAAAACTGAGCGACTGAACTGAAATTATACAGAAAGATTATTATAATACCGTGGACCAGTGAAAGGAGAAATAGAAACATCCTACACAATGTGAACATCGAGAAGAACTGGCTCATAAACAGCATTCTGTCGCGAAAAATGAGGATTTTGACCATGTTAACATCATGGTCGCCGGAGAAACCGGTGATGGAGAGTACAGATTCCAGAAAAGGAGACAAATGCTGACCTCCGCGAACGTAGATTCATTCATTCAGTAGCATGTCCCTCGCGGAACCTCGCTGCCATAACAACCCTCCGGAAAACCTTCCTATCATGAGCAAGATGTCCTGCGTCTGATACACCCATCTGGAGATCATCTGCCACAATCCTGCACCCATCTTCTCCTTGGAGGCATATACCCCTCCATTATTGTTCTCTCTAGACTTCCATGACGTTTCAAGTGACCAAAATATTTCAATTTTCTTTGTTTTATTTTATTTTAGATACCAGACGTTAAAAAATGCATTGGCTATGAAAGCACATAGAGCTGGAGAACTGGGTAGAGAAAAAGAGACTTTCAGGCGTCTCTACTAATCAGGTGGAGATAATCCAGTTACATTCTAGATAGATACATTCTCTTGTTCCAATTCTGGAATCACTATTTCCAGCCCTGGTAGACACAATCACTATTTCCAGCCCTGGTAGACACAATCCATATTTCCAGCCCTGCTATTTCTTCATCATGTGGCAGGTTTTTTGCAGAAGTACTTTGCAGAACGTCGCTCTCATCACGGTCTGCCTGAAAGAAACTTGGTCTCTTGCCAGTTCTCCCGCTTCATGTACTTTTATACTCAAGGAGTCACTTATATCCTGTGCCCATCTTCGTGTCGGTCGGCCCCTGCCCCTCCTTCCTGGTACCATGCCTTCTGCTATCATTGTTCCCCAAACCATCGTAGCGCTTGATATGACCAAAATATTTCAGCTTCCGAGTCAGGATGCTGTTTATCAGCCAATCTTCCCTGATTTTCAGATCTTCCAAGATGTCAGTATTTCTTTGTCCAAGACATTCTGAGAATCTTTCTATAGTATTTCAGCTCTAAGTAGATATATTCTCTATTTTCAATTCGGGTAGACACAATCATTTTTTCCAGCCCTGCTATGTACTATCGCTATGTACAGTTAAGGCTGATACTTTCACAGTTAAACCTTCAAGTAGCTACGATCGCTGTTAGTTCCTAAAGAAAGGTAAAGGTAAAGTCGGGAGATGTGAACCATCGTCATTGCACACGGTTATAACCCATAAGTGATCTGCCATCAGTATGGACAGCTGATAAAAAACTGTCCGCCTGTGTCGTCGTCCACACGTAACTCCGTAGCTACAGCGACGTTCCTCCATTCATTCCAGAGTGTCAACTCTGGTACCCATTTTCTAGAGGCTGGGTGAACCCCGGAAACGGCCCGGTTTCGAACACCGACCGTGGACTGCGGCGAGTCGCAGCTGGATTTAAAAGCAAGTCTCCTATCGACTGCGCTAACGTTAGTTCCTGGCGCCTTCTACCACTAGTTACGATTTAAGGTAAAGCGAATCAGTTTAGAGCCCAAACATAAAAACACGGAGAAATCAACACAAGAATACAACTTCTCACGCCAGATCGTGTCTTCCCGTGTGCTAAATTAAATGCGATGTTAAAGAACAATATTCCCGTGTGTGACAAGGACAACATACACAGTTTCAAAGACACGCTTACAACATGCTCTATTTTGGTCGTTGTAGAAAGCGTGTCGGTAATTGATGTCGCGTAAATATGACGCATGGAGAAATGAGTCGTTGGTACACTTGAACGCACTGATCCGTGAAAGGCAGACTGATTACACAGGTAAGGAACATCATGGAAACAGGGCGGGGAGGGGGGCGCATGGGCTTTGAGTGCAGGAAATAGTTATTGCCTTAAGTAAGACTTAACGTACTGTAAGTGAAATCTTCACTTGTTTGTGTGCAAAATAGATCTTCTTTCATTCGCCAGAAATAGATTAGCTACAGAGTCTGTGTACTGTGCTGTGTTTCTTCGGCTTAGACTTCAGTTAGAAGAAAGAACGGAGCACTTATGAGTTACTTACTACCCGCATACCATGATGTTGATCTGTTGTTCAAACGTCAACACCCCCCCCCCCCCCCCCTCTCAATCCCTTCCATCTTCAAACTTCAAACAGGGAAAGACACAAATACAACCCGTATTTCCTTTAGAACTGGTACAACACACTTCTGACTGCTCCCCAATCCACAGACACTTCAATAAATTTCGCAAATATGAAATAGTCAAAATTTTAAAGAGCTAAAGGGAGAAAGCTCATGCGCTGCCGGATAACAACAACTGGTAACTAGAGAACCGCAGTAGTGCTGCGAATAGACGATTGCCTTCCCACCCCGAAAGTCCTAGGTTTGAATCCGTAGCGAGGCAACATGTCAAACCTACCTTGACTTACAAGTCAACAAGCATGACATGAGTACCAGAAACTCTCCTGAGAAGTCAGGTCGGCCAGCGGGATGCTTGTCCTATCGCCCATATTTGCACGTATTCCCATATCAATGTGGGACGCAATTTGTTTCGTTATTTTACCGCCACACTCCGGGTGTAGTTGGGAGCCCTAACAGAGTTTCTGGGACCTGTGCCCGGGTGATCCTCATCCGAATGGTGTCACTTTGTGTCACCGAGTGTTGGTCGCTCTTAGTACGGTCCTGGTAGGGCTGATCGACACAATAACAGTACCTAAAGATGTGTACAAAATATGGTTCCTGCACCAAATGCTTAAAACGCCAGTGACAGGAAAATGATTCTCTAAAAAACAAAACAACGAAAAACCCTCATTCCCTATTATGTGCGCGTGCTCTAAGGAGCGATGTGTTTGTGCGTGCGAGTGTATGTAAGTGTGTGTGTGTGTGGGTGGGTTGGGGGGAGTTATAAGTGTCATTTAGTATTCACAAAGTCACCTAAAACAACAGGCAGTTACGTCATAAAACGATTCAGTGACATGTTATTGGATAGTTGGTGTCAAGTTAATGTTTTGGCTGCCCATCAACGCTTTTTGTTTAGTGTTTCATTAGTCTGCTTATATCAGTGGTTCTTCACCTGTTTGTTCCGGGGCCACATTTGTAGGTAGGGCGGGGGGAAGGCGCAGCGCCTCGTAACAAGCAGGTCGTACAAGGCTGAGAGGGGGGGGGGTTGGTGGGGAGGTATTTGCTCGAGAGGCAGGGTACTATCAGTCTGCAACAAATAAGTCTGTTAAACAGATGTTCAACGCAAATATTAAGTTCTGAAACAAGACTAAAGTCCAGATGTGGACGAATAACCCAGACTTTCCATGGGTGAGGTCTTAATTTTTCTTCTTCTTCTTCTTCTTCCTCCTCCTCCTTCTTCCTCTCCTCCTCCTTCTTCTTCTTCTTCCTCTTTCTTCTGCCTGCTGCTGCTGCTCTGCTGCTTCTTCTTCTTCTTCTTCTTCTTCTTCTCCTCTTCTTCTTCTTCTTCTTCTTCTTCTTCTTCTTCTTCTGCTTCTGCTTCTCTTCGCTGCTGCTGCTTCTTCT